GTAATGTGGATCAGGTACGAGACATGCTTAACATGTCCGTGCGGCATACAAAGAATCTAGCTAGTTGTGGATCCAAACAGCTGCTCATGTAAAATCAAGAAGAGCTACATAGTACTTATATAGGAAAAAGTTATTTTGCCCTTGGTTTGCCTCACTTCCCCTCTAAATAATTGATGGACCCACTTAACCCCTAAAGTACATTTCTCTGATTTGGATGGCTAGTGATGCAAACTGCACGGGAGGTCGACAACAGCAGGTGAGGCCACAGGATCTCATGGCAGCTGGACTCTACAGATCAGCATCGCAAAAATCAGACGGGCACTAAGAGAGAGAAGCAGGAAAAACAAGAGCGCATCCATATAAATACACAGAGGATCTGCTCTGAAGATGGAAGAGAGTTATAGAAGAAGGTGGATGAATAAGATGGTAACGTACATCACCCGCAAAAAAAAGATGGCAAAACGTACGTAGCATCTTGGGTGTTAAAACGTGTGTAGATGCTAAACTAGCAAACTACCATCAAACTATCATGAAAGCATTGCCCAAAACTAGTCGTGGGGTATAACACTTCAAAGAAATGACTAACGGCATCATGGGAGATTGGGAACCCTAAAGAACTGGGAAGAAAAGTGTGACAATTAGATTGTATAGGGAGGAAAATGAACTTTCCATGTATCTGGGGAGGTTCTTTGTGGTGGAACCACCCCACCAGGGTTCATGTCCTAGGCTTGACATTGGTTGCCACATTTTCCTAATTTATTTCAGCCTGTCCGGCGATGTTCATTCAGTGGGAGGGACGTTCCCGTCGCCTACGGAGCGCATGTGGTGACTTCATCAATCTCAAGATGATATACCGGCTTAGTTTCTCGAAGCTGCTCATAGGGGGTAGGGTGTGCATGTGTGCATCCCTCCATAACTCGGCGATGGGCAAGTAGTGGGTGCTGGCGCCGGCAGGCAGCGGTTCCAGGGCAACGCCGCCCCCAAACTCTAGGGTGGTTGTCCTCATCGGAGGGCGGATCCTCGAGGAATGCGGATATCATCATCTCCTCCGTCGACGAGGACCAGCCGTCGATGTGGAGTACGAGGAGCAGATGGAGCTGATGCTCCATCGTTCTATGCTCCACCTCCCCGGCCCGACTCCACCACTGGGGACGCTTCTCCTCATCAAGCCGGAGCCATTATCCCCTCTGTGCTCTCCGCCATGCAACCGCAGCATTCAAATCAGACATTGTGAAGGAGGAGCGCCTCTCACCGCCACCCCGGCGCTTCATCAAGGACGGGCGCCGCCTGCCGTCGCCCATGTGCTTTTTCGAGGAGAAGCGCCGTTCACCACTGCTTGTGCCCAATGGGATCGTGAAGGCGCGCGGCTGCCTCCGCCACTACCTCAATGGTTGCAGCTCTTTGTCGTCCAGGAGCGCCCTAATGGCATAGGGGTACGCCGATAGGGACCGATGCCGGCGGGATAGGCGCAATGCGGCGCGCCGGTCGGAGTTCGTTGACTCTGACATCCCGCCGCCACATATCGCCGCGGACCCGGAGCCGGCGTACGCCTTGGCTGTGGACCGGTCCTTGATGACGGCGGATATGAGCAAGCAGACTCTCTGCTGCCTCGGTTGGGAGATGGCGAAGTACGGCGAGGAGTGGCCTCTCAGCAAGATCACCGATGTCG